AGAGAGGAACTCCATATTTCAAGAAATCCACAGAATTTAACTCAGACTCTGTTCTCCAAGCTTATTTTCTCAAATGAAAATATGAGCCCAAAATACAAAGGGGAAAACCCAGATTATGTAGACAACAGATATGGACATAATTTGCATAAGGAACTGTTTGCTTATTTAAATAAACAAATAGTTGTGCTTGGCCTCAGCGTCAAAGTACCTGAGTCACCCAGGTTTTTCTTCTGGGAGGTTACAGATAATGGGGACTTTGAAAAAACAAGTTTGCAGCATTTTAGGCTTCCAAGCCAGATTAGGACAGAACTGTGATATTCTTGCCTGTGTATCCTAACCTAAACAACATTCAATCAGTCCTGCTCTCATTGCTTCTGTATTTAATTGATAGCACACTCAAGGTCTCTACGTGTGTACTTCATATATTTTGTGTTCTATGCAAATATTCCATGCTATTACTCAACTTTTCTTTGAGCCTGCAGAAAGTGATTTGTCAGCAGCGCCGGAAAGGAAATCTAGTGCCAAAACATGGGTGCTAAGCATTCTCCCAGGAGAAACCCTGATGATTTGTATTGTTGCCTTAAGCTACTTACAGTTGGAGATTAAATTTAATGAGAAAGAGAGATTAAACAGCCCACCATCCACACGCTGTCTTTACACTCTGGGCTAAAGCTCTGGCTTAGGGAAGCAATTTTACTTTGCCAGTTGGGCTTTATGTGCCAGAGTCCCACAATGCAAAGCCCGGCCTTGGTTTCAGGCTTTCATCCCAGGGCTGTCTGTGGGAAGCAGCCACAGTATGTTTGCGTCCTGGCTAAGTCTAGGGGCTGTTTTGTTCAAAAGCAGCTGTTCACACCTTAAAAGGCATTGGGCATAGGACAAACAACAACAAAAAAGAAAAAAACAGAAGGAAAAAAAGAATAGTAGAAAAACCTACAAGAGTGATTCTGCTAGAGCCTCCCCGCAAAGCATTGGCTTAGATAGGATGTTTTAAGGTCTGTTCTCCGTAATGCATTTCACACTGCCAATTTTGAGCCACTTCCCATTGAGTGTGAAATTTATTGTTCTGATGTACAGTTGCTAACTGGGCTAACAGATCTGCCCTTAAAGCTAAGTGGAGGACAGAGATACTGAGATGATGCCAAGATGAAAGAAAAAGCGGAGATAAAACCTTGTTGCAATTCTACTAGCAAAGTATGGTACTCTTTACTGCATGCCCTGGCTTGTTTTGCCAATATGAACACCAAGACTACTGTTTATTTTGAATATAGGTGGCAGCATATAAAAAGGCCAGCAGAGGAATGCTGTACAAATTTGTGTATCACTTTGCCTTATTTATAAACTACTTGGAATCCTTCAGAATGAATCCTTCATTAGGGTGGTCATTAGGGATATTATTTTATATTACTTTATTATTACAAGCAATAACAGAGCTACTATTTTCTGGTCTAATTTGCATTTTGTTACCGGGCCTTCTACAGGGGTGAGGGTTATACCTCTGTAATCTGGAAGCCTATCAAGTGAATTTTATCATTTAGGAGAAATATCAAACTATGAGGTCTATTTTCTGCATGCTAACTTAGAAGTCAAGGGAAATTTTTCATCTTGACTCAGTAACTATCAACAGTGAAGCCTTGGGCAAGACCCAAGCTGTGTGTTTTCCAGGTATAAATTTGGATGCTGTTTACTTTCCTTACAGAGCTTACAGGAATAATTAGCTCCTGGCTGTGCAGTGTTTCAAGGTTATAATATACAATATAAATGCTTAATGTTGTTGTTATGGGCCCTGCAGATTGCTTAGGGGTGGATACGGCCTCCTTCTGCACTGAGGCAGTTTGTGTAGAGAATGCTCTCTCATGGGAGAAGCTGAGGAGAGCAGATACTGGAAGCCAAAGCAAGTGTCCCATAAAAAGCTAGTAGTTAGCACAGTGATAATCTACAGCAGCAATGCTATAATATGATGATTATTATTTTTATGATCACCAATAAAAGCCGTAACTGAAAGATTTTTCAAGCATGCTGGCATAAAGTGATATTCAGACAGCACAAGCAGATGATCGTTTTGGTAATTCTCAACTTGTTTAAATGCAATCTGTTTTACTACATGTTTCGAAATATTTCTAATTACCATTGACTCTCACACACAAACACAGACATGCACACAAACACACATGAATGACTGAAAAGAGGCAGGCAAGGTATGGAAAATGGCAGTGTAAACTATCACCAAGCTCCATCAAAGCTCTTTTTTCCTCACTGACATAGCTGGTATTTAGGTTTTGGGACTATCATTCAAATTTGTGGCCTGTTTTGAACAAGAATATCTAGGAATTTTTCCACTGAACTGGATAGGACCAAAAACCTCCTTGCATTACAAGAAAAAAAAAAAGTTGAGCTTTCCTCCAGCAAGTCTCTTTTTTTAAAAAATAGATTTTAATAGAAATTGAAATATAAACAATGTTCTAACAAAGGAGAAAAATGCTGCATGTGAAGGCTATACAGAAGAGAAATCCTTGATTTCTATGCTTAATAAAGGAGCATTGTGGTGGTCATAAAGACCACATAAGCATCTCTGGTAGATAAATATACAAGCACTGGATTTCTGTTTTTTTTAAGAGTTATGAGAGTTAAAATTATTATAAATGTGTGGAATAGCTCCACAAAACTTGAAATGCTTACAGCTGAAGTTCCTAGAGAACTTCACTGTAAGTGCAGAATTATTCCAATCTATATTCAGCCCACGATGAGAAGAATAATTCTAAAAAGTAGCAACAATATTTTCATTAAGTATCTCCAATTTATAGACCTTTCCCTTAGCAACCACGTTACTATTAAGAAATCCTTTATAATGAAAATAAATTCAATACTAAACAGAGGTGTAGAAAATGTAGAAATGTTACTAAAAAGTGTTTTATAATTTTGAAAATCTTGAAAAAAATCACTTCTCACAAGGACACAGAATTCTAAAGAATGTTTGAAGCATCTTGTTAGGTGTTAGAGTGCAGAAGTAGGTGGTTTGATTTTGGAGTAGTTGGGAATTTTCTAGCAATGGAGGAACTGAGAGACTCTGTCTTTTTTAGAGGAGAAACGGTTCTGCAAAACTGTCCCAGAATCATGAAAGGCAGAAAATCAATACACTTGAATCCAAACATAATGATTGTGAATATGAAGGTGGAAAACTTACCACTGTATGTCGCTTCTTCTGTGTCTATATCTTGCAAATCTAAAAATTTGTCCACCTGCAGGAAAAGCTCAAAGTCAGAAAATAGAAGAAATGTACCAAGTCCATTCCTTTCAGTAAAAACTAGAGGAAATCACTAATTTGCTTCCTTCATCTTCTCCATTCCCCCCTTATTTTTCTAAGACAGGATTTATTCTTTTTGAAATGTATAACCCAAAGGAAATGCTTTTAAGCATAGCCAAGGAACTGTTGCCAAAGTTGTTGTACATTCAGGGCAGTGAACTTTCAGGAACTTAGTGGGAACACAGAGGAATAAAACATTTCCACAAAATGCAGTTAGGTGGTAAGTTCCTCAACAGGTTTGCAAGCTCCCTGTGTGTGACACAGACACAGCACGGGCTACACGCAAAGGACACCCTGATCCTCCTATTTTGACACAAATGGTGACATGAATGGGAAATGCCCAGAACAGGCCCCTCTTACAGGAGGGGCTTTTGCTAAACTTTAGGTAACTTTAGCTAAAGCCTAGGAAAAGAGTTTCTCCTTGCAGAAGAAAATGGAACTTAATGAATTGGAACAAAGTGCAGAGTAATTTAAAGAACAGAAATTGAGACTGTTCTTATTCTTCCTAAAAAATATCCCCCCGCCAGAAGATCTAACTTACTGAGCTGAAGCAGTGGAAGAGCACACAAAACACCTTTTTAGGCAAAATTAGCACCTACAAACTGGAAGCCTTTGGAGGCACTGGAGAAAAGCTGTGAGCTCTGTGAACAAGGTTGCCAAGGCGGATTTACTGCATGCACGAGATAGTTTTCTATATTTCTATGTAGTAATTAGAGATGCTCATAGATCATTTTTTCCAAAGTGATTTGACACTCATTACACAACCCACATAAGTGTTCTCATTAACACTTACACAACCCGTGTACTATAAAAGTACATATTCATTAACATTTTTAAAAATGTTGGATTAAAAATGTTGTCTCATTCCCCTTCCCTGCTGATGGGGAAGAAAAGCACCAGCAAATTGTGAATACTTGGTAAATGAATGAAACAAAAATTAGTCATGATCTACTCATAATCCTCATTTCAAAGGAAATCAAAGAAAACCTCACCTTTACTCTTTCAGTCAGTCTGAGATTGTTTCCATCAGGACCACCAGCTTTCCAGCACTCACTCATCTCTGTCTGTACGTAGGCAAACAAAAATGCTTATGTGCATGAAACAGAACCAAAATCACAATAAAAGCTCCTCCTAAATTATGCATATGGGCTCTTTATGCTATTTTAAAAATTCTCCTGAAAATAGAACATACATAGGTAGTCCCCTGAAATCCTGCACAGGTTCAGACTGAATCACTTGGACCACATAGTATACCTAAAAATCTGTGTTTAGAACAAAAGTACTATTTTTAGTAGTAGTTTTTTCCTCAGGGAATACAGTTTCTACATGTTTACAATACAGTTTATTGCATTATAAACTCCTTCTGCTACTATGCTAGCAATTTTCTAATTCATTCTACTACTACTGTATTTGGTTCTCAAATTGCTAATGGGACAAAAATGTGCTGAAACTCACAGATTTCCACCTCACTCTCTCTGGATGATGTCTATTGTTTTCCTGTCCCTGCACATTAAATCCCTAATTTCATGGGTTTCAGAAGATTAAAAATGCCTCCTGCCTGCCTACTGTTTGCTTTAGGTATTGAAGTAATCTAACTTCAGTAACACAGAATTCAGTCGCTGCTAATATCCCCCAGAAGCAGAGCAGATCTGTGCACACTCTGTTCTCACTGTCCATACTCTCAAGACTTTCTCCCTTCTTGCCATGCCAACCTCGACTGTTAACTGCAGCCTGTAGTGAAAATATTACAATGGTCTTTGCAGGACTCCTTATTTATCAGTCAGATTGTGGCAGCTCTTCAGTAGGGCAAATGCCACTGCCAAATGTGATCCCAGCAGGTACATCTGTGTTACACACTAGGGTAGTACTTTAAATATTTGCCTCAGATGGTATAACACAGTCAGCCTCTAACATCTGAACTGTTTATTGCCCCATATTTTTATCTTTTGGAATATGATGCTTGTTCACATCGACAAATACTACCTCATTACCTTATTCCCATTTGGCATCTGTGGTGGGAGAGGCACTGACAGCTCTTCACTTCTTCCAAGTGAACCATCATCCTCTTTAGCTCCTCGTGATACCTCAGATGTGGAAAATGTTTTTCTTAGGGAATCCGCTTTACATCCTTGTATTGTCTTCCCCTCTTCTGCGCAGACCCACATCAGATAGATAACATAATACACCATCCAACAAAAAAAAGAAAAACATTTTGTTTGATCTAATATGGACTTTTTTACATAGACATTTTACACTCTCCCTCAGAGCATCCATGTACATCACATGATGCATAGATATCTATCAGTGTTCACTGAAAAAGGTGAAAATGAAATTTGAACTTTAAGTGCATAGAGTATCCCCTATGCCTTGACACTTAAAAGCTTATGCAATACACCGAAATCTTGAGAAAATAATCCAATGATTGAAAATAACAAAAGGAAGACAATAAGAAAGGTTGTAGCTTTGTTTTTATTTAAACCTTTTGTATAAAAATTATCTGATTGCTATGCAAAATGGCACACATATAGGCGTATGCCTGTGCCTGCATTTGGCACTGCAAAACCCAACACATATGAAGACATAAACCTTTCTTGTGACACCGTTATAAAACCTAAAGCAACTGCATGCACTCAGTAAGGCTCTTTTAGATGTATGCTGTTTGAATTAAAACCATACAAAATCAAATGTTCCTCATTCCCTAAAACTAAAATATGCTCCAACACTTATATGTCTAGTTCCAAAAGTAAGAGTGTGTGTGTGTGAGAACCTCAGCACACACACACCCCGCTCAAGGTGAGTGCCAAGACAGGCTGAGCTCTGCCCAGGAAGATGCCCAAGCCTCAGTGTCCTCTTACTAAGGAAAGGATAAGAAAGCAAATTGCAGAAGTTGGCTTACTACACTGCCTTTGACACTGAGCAGGGATCTACTCTCCTCTTCCTACAGTGTATCCTGCCCTTGTTTCTTTATTTGGTAGAGTATCCTCTCATTTCACCTGAGTGAACTGGGGCCACTAGGCACTGCAGCTTTCAGTCTTTAACAGCTGTACTATGATCTTGACTTACTTCAAGAGCATCACTTGTTTGATTTGCCCCAGTATACCTGCAACCTCACTGTGTGAGGGAAAAAATTATCAGTAATTATTTATTTTTCGGTCAGACTAACAAACAGCAGCATGTCAGTGATATTTGGTTGCCGGAGGTTCAGTTCCTGAGATAAAAGATTAAAGGCAGAAGTTTAAGCAGGGTTGGTTTCCCTAAGGGATTTCTCTGATCTTGAAAGACAGACTGGATAAAAGATTTTGACAGGGCATTGACAAAAGATTGGAATACCTTCTCTCATGTTTATTTTATCCATCAGTGGTGGCTAATTGGGCCCTCACAGAAAATGCAAAAGTATTACAAAACAAAAGCGGGGTGTTCAGGGAGAGCTTGAGACATCTCTCGGACCTTTAAAAATTTCCTTCATAACAGGAGCACGGTTAGGACAACCACTAACTCTGCTGACAGTCCTACCGGATCCACAGGGCACAGAGCAGCCAGCAGAATTAGGATATGGCTGATCACCAAACCTCAACACTGCAGAGTGGATGTAAGAGCTCATTAAACATCAGGACAAGTATGTGGATGGAAGTATGGATTTCTGACCTCATGCTGAATGGTTTTTCCCTACCATATAGTAAAAAATATATATTCATCATGGTCAAAATAAAACTGCATGACTTTTTTCTTTTAAAAATTCCATTATCAAATATGGAGCAGCTGCAGGACAATAAATTCAAATGGACTTCACACCACATGTACTTAATGAAAAATAAATGCTGAATTTAACAAGTTTCATGCTTTAACTTGAAAAATCTACTTCACAACAATAAGAAACACTGCCGTACATTTTGAAGGCCTAATTATATGTTATGGGCACTGACTTGGTTCTTGTAGATATTCTTAATGATGCCCTTGGGGTTAGTACATTCAGCAGTCCCCTTTCCCAGAGAGTTATTAATGGCCATGGACAGCTCCGTGCCCCAGTTATGATGATGCTGAAAGAGTTGGCATTCTGGACACAACTTCAAGTCCATATTTATAAGAGTCAGGGTTCATAAAAAGTAAATTGCTCCAGATCAGAACAACCTAGCAAGCAGACTTTAACTCTGAGACCAGAGATAATTCCTAAATCCCAGGTTTTTCGATATGACATCTGGCTTCTGTCTGCTTTTTAACAAATACTTTCTTAAAACAGTATTTGGAAGCAGCACTACATATGGGCAATCACTTCTTCCTACACACCCTCTTTTTCAAGCTGTGGAAATGACATATAACACCAGAAGCCCTTCTTGAAACTCCTGACAGGTAAAATAATCACCCACTACTTGAAGAAATTATTATTGTCTCCCAACTTAACAGCAAGAATCACACAAGCTGCTCACAGAGCTTCAATCTTTTATTATTGTAGTGATAATAGCAGGATGAACTTCCTACTTTATACTAAGTATGAAACATAAAAGTTTCATATTAAAGGCTAAGAAGCCAGAAGAGGATATTATTTCTTTCAGGCTATACCCGCATTAGTAAATTACACAGCCAAACATAAGTAGATGTATAGAGTGTAATTATAGGTACCGAGGACTCAGTGTCCTCACTGTACACATTTCAGGGAGCTTTATGTATGTGAACTGGGAAGAAGCTTCTCAGAAACATCCTTTTCTCATCAAGGTCCACAAGGAAACTGGTAATGGACTCACTATTCAGTCACAGCACTCAACCTGCCCTCGCCCTAACGCACAACACTGGCCTCTACAGCCCTGACAAAAGCCCCAAATAAAGGATACAAATGCAATAAAAAGTAGCAGAGGAAGGAGTGCCCCCATATGCACGTATTCCCTGCACAGAAAGTTTTTCAGTTTTACTTTGGAGAAGTTCCACTGTCAGTACCTTAACAATGACATAACCAGCTTAGCTCTCCAGAAAAGTAAATCTGAGTCTCTCAAGAGAAATATTCATCATAATTGTGTGTCACTGGAAAGTATGCTGCAGACTTCTGAAACGTATTTCTATCAGAAAGTATATCCCACTTGATACCTTCTTTCTGTCCATCTATCTGTTCTCTATATTGCTTAAAATTCTTTTTGTCTTCCAATTTGGAATTAAATCTCTTGAAAATGTCCACTGATCACGCACATATTTCAAAGAATAATGGAGTCACTTATCGCAAGTCAGACAAGAGAGCTATCAGGATTATCAGGAAAAACTTCCTGACAGTGAAGTCTATCAGATGAAATACTAGCCCCAGAAGAATGATGAAAGTCCTCTATTTGAAACATTGCAAAACAAGAGCGGACACAGCAATCAATAATATACTGTGGAAACTGGCTTGGCAGAAAATGCTGGACTATGCAATATAAACTACCAGGTATTTCCCTCTATGAATTCATTCCAAAAATCTTTATAAAAATTTGGTGAGCATGAGATACAGTCCCATTTAACTATAAAAATATAACATAGCAAAGCTATTATCGTAAGTTCTGATTTATTTCTTTGTCCTCAAATTGCTGGCCAGTGGAAGGCGTATGAATCTGCTAAACCCCTTCCAAGCTGCACTTTAATGGAACACTTGGGATTCAACTGATAGAGTGATTTTGTACAGGACTCCTGAACAAAAGATAATTTTACTCACAGTAGCATGGTATCTGTCTTGCACAGAGATCGAGTACAACTTTCATGTTCATTTACCGTCTCCATTCTTCAAGCACATCCTCAGCAAAAGTATGCTGTGAACCAGAGGCATTGAGCCACATTTTAAAACCTGACAAAGACCTGTCACTGAAGTGTTTCCATAAAATATCACTTTGAATGTTCAAAATCGAGAAGGTAACACAGGTTAGCGTAGGAGAATTACCTGTATTTACTTTTTTGCAACTGTGCAATCTCTTATATCGTACTGAGTTAATTTACTCTAAATATCAAGCCATAGGAGGAAAAAAAATTCCCAAGCCAGAAAAAACAATTGGTTGGGAGGGCAATTTTGATTTTTTTTAATAATTCAGTCAAACCTTCTCCCACACATAATTCTGCAGTAACTCAGTGAAAATTTAGAGCCTCCCTCTGTGTATTGTACAGCTGAGAATAGAACTTAGTGTTTTACTTTAAATTTTCTTAGCCTAGAAAATCTGCTCTGATTTACATTCTTGAGCTATCTTCCTATTTCCATGCATTTAAATGTATAAATCACTGTAGTAAATAGGCCCAATTCAAGTATTAAGGGCCTGTACATCCATCCATAACTAAGAGTAATCTAGGTGCAATTCAGATGCCTAAACACAGTTGTGTAGTGCTGTTTTATGTGCTTTAGGGGGTATCCTGCCTGGTCTCCTTCATGCAAGAACCTGTGGATTTTCCATAAATCTTATATACTGTCTGCTAATCCTTAGCATCCAAATTATCTATCACCCAACTATCCAAAGTCTAATCTTACTTAGGTACAACCCTCACTAATTTCAATGACAGTGAGTTCACAGTGGCACTGGGAAGGCAGAACTACGTCAAAGTAAGCCTATCTATAAAGCAGAGAGAATAACAACTTAATTGCCCAAGAGTGCAAATTAATATATATAACATATCTTGGACATGCAAAATGTAAAACATGCTGGTCTTCCTTTTCAGTACTTCACCTCCTTTTCAGTGAACAAGGGCATTTCTGCTGCTCACAGTAGATCTCCTCTTGTGTAACTCATTAATATCCACAGAGTTCTTCCCAGTTTGCACCAGGGCTCTTACAGCCTTTTCCCTGAATCTCTTTAGTCTCGCCCCGATTAAAGCACAAATAGTTAGCAAAAAGTGTTGTTTTTCTGATTGTTGTTGTTATTGTTGTTTCATTTAAGAAGTCAGCTTTTACTATATTTTGTATATTCATAGGCTGGTTCTTTCCTCACTAGCACCAGTTTACTACAAAAGGCTCACTAAGCCATATTCTCAGATAGGATAAAAAATATATGGACAAGTCATTTCTGTGGGACTGTTATTAGCTTAGAAGGGTAAACTATTTTTATTTTTGACTGCCATTTTTGTATACTTCCCTGCAACATGTTTAAAAACCACAAAGGAAAGGACTTTCTCTCCTCCCCCAGGAGGAGGAGAATGACTGCTAGTCCGAAG